GCTATGGATGGCAGTTTGAAGTTTGTGGTGTATTTCAGCTGCTGTATACACTGAAAACCCATGAACGACTATTGCAGGAAACAAACTCATGCACCGTTACCAGTTTCGACACTGATCGTGAAGCGAATCCTTTTGTTATTCTGTTTACGATTGGTCAGTGCACAAAGTTGGATGCTATAGCCAGTTCCTTCCTACTTATGCAATCACACGAATGTCTAATAACTTTAGTACAAATTAATTTAAATTATTATCTTAATTTTACTAGCATTTTTGTGAGGCTGGCCTTTCTGTTTATCTCTGAAGAGTCTCAATTATTATTACCTGACAAAATCATGAAAAAAATGGCACATGCGTATATACAATGGAAATTTTTATCTGATGAACACCTTTACACCTAAAAACATCTACTCTGCGTCAGTGGAAGAATTCCATCCTACTCTTCATACGATGGGCTATGGTAGAAGTTAGTCCATGGTACCATATCTTGGCGAAGCGATACTTATACCGCTAAGTTGGGAACCGCTTGAACGAAACAGCTACTAAAACTCACCCTGAGGCTTGATGGAAATCAAACTCAGTGAGTAAGGGAAATTTTGCGTAGCACTTCGTGAAGATATATTTCACTCAGTCACAAGGACAGTAACCTGGTTGTATGGAAGTAAATGTAGCTTGCGCCTCCACGGGGGATACGGAACAAGGCTACTGGATACGTCTATCGACGAAGGCTTCTTACCACTACCACGAAAATTGTTTTGGTTATTGTGTGATATGACCAACAAACTGCTGCCTCCCACTGGTAGTGTGGACTGAATCGGATAGTTCTCCTTGACCACTGCTTCCCATCGTTGGCGAGGCATGTCTTACGCGGGAAAGAAAAGAAAACGATGGAGTTATGACGACATCTTAAGAGAATCACACCCACCCTCATGTGTCATACGTTGATGAAAAGAGTTACTCGCATGTTTTTAGCGCGGACACAAAACAGTAGTAGCTGTATGTAAATAAGCAGCGTATGCAGAACATGGCTAGAAGTTTTCAGTACATGCGCTGAACGAGAAACTTTAATTGAACTATGGCCGTTTTGACGTTGCTTGTTCGCGTTTTTGGTCATACAGAAGTAGAGCATAAAAATGGTTCAATTTAATCGTACGCAAGTTTGCAGCCCGTGCCCTGTTGAGTTCCTTCGAGGCTCCTTCGAGGCAATTCTGTTGGTCCTCGGTTGACGTTGATTTCTTCCCATACAGTAGCAGACTTGTTTCAAGCGATAAGACCAGATCGTGGTTAATGCTGATGCTTTATTTTGCTTTAGTTATAAATCGTAAATTTTACTGTACGGCTGGAAACATCTGCAATAGGCATATCATTTCATTTGTTGGTCGTAAAAAAGCGTTATTTCAGTCGGATTTATGAATTTAAATTGAACAATCTCCAGAGCCAGCTTGGTACTTCATAAGGGTCATAACTAAATGTTGCAGGGAAGCAATGTTGGTGCATGAAAAACCAAGTTTTCGATAAACGAATAATCACGGAAAATCTGAAATAAAGCGGAATGAAACCAGGATTATTTAAAGCGATCAACGTCGTTAATTCCTTATCAGATTAGATACCATTCTTATCATCTTAAAACATACGAGTTGAACATCGATTTATCTCCAGAGGGAAAAGCTAAATTCAAATTCGAGTTTAACCTGAAACGACAAGAAAAATTAGCGATGCTTTCGTTAATGCTAAAACCGACCAGAGTTGGTTTACGCTGACACTGCCATAGCAACTGAGTGATAAATCACCGTTTATAAGCAATTGTATAGACAAATATGACTCGGTGCATTGAGGTTGCTACCGCAAATGATTTCCCAGGTATACTGAAGAATTTTGTTATCATCTGGGCTATCAACCTCGAGGATCAAGTACTTAGATTAATGATGTCTGATGTCTTGGAAGATTTAGTTTCTGTTCGTACACCCCTTTATTCCTAACTCAAAGAAGTGGTCTTGTATATGATGGATTGGGAGTGCTCGAACTCCATGAAGCCATAGTCTACTTGAATGGTTTTCAATGACGACTAGAAACGCAGTACATTTGAGCTGAGTAACTCCGGTATTGGGAATTGAAATCCCTTCAATCGGAACTAAAAACTGGGAAGCTACTGTTTGTTGTAGATACTACACAGCAGCTGGATTATATTAATTCATTTGTAATTCTTTGATCAGAGGAACGGAAAGCTTAATATTCAATAAAACTGAGTGGGTGTTAAATTATTATGCGTTCCTCCGAACCATGCTGATCCATGTGACATGAATAGCGTTCTCCATTCCTTTCACTAACCATAATTTTTCATATAATTCTTGTATTTTCTTTATACACGTATTCCATTCACCTGTCCAAAGGGTAAAAAGCACGATGCGAAATTTTATCGATGCTTTCTTTCCTGCAATAATGCAAATAGAAGTCCTTAATCCCTTCAAATACTGTAATTAAAACTTTCTTCAACAACTGATAAACCGTTCCCTTGATAATATAACGAGGTTTGTCAACCCATGATTATCTCTGTTTTGTCAGCCAACAGGCTCAGGGCATACGCCAGGGATTTGAGGAGGCTAGGGAACATGCATCTTTCCATACTATGCGCTACTTTTGGTGGTTGGTTAATAAATTAGTACCCTACTTCATATACTATGCATGAAGAGAAACCCAAAGTTTATCACATCAGCGCTTCGTCCCAGTAATAAAACTCAACTCATGTCTATGGGTCTGGAAAGAACGCCATATTCATTATTTTCATGACGCATTTCCCAGTGTGATATATTCCACTACGGTAAGCACGAGTGTGAGGTAACTTCAGCAAAAAAAATCACAAGAGGTACAACTGGTATTGCAGATGCACTACGGAGCCGTTGCCTACTTAAATGGTTTCCGTAGGCGACTAAAAGCAAGGACGGTACAATAAGCGGTGAACCTGGACTTCGAGGTGCTATGTGTTATCGTAACCATTCTGATGTTTGCCTTACATGAGGATAACGATAACAGCAAACAGTAACAAATTCCGTATTCCTCCTTTTTGTTTGAACATCCTCACATCATTATCATTTAAGGAAGTAACGTGATTAGATTGTAGTCTCAGACGATGGAGGTATTGAACTGTTCCACAGTTTGTGATCCAGCTTGAGCTCGTTATTATTTTTTTAAATGTAGAATATGGTTTGCCTACAAGTGGCTGCCAGGAGGTGGACAGTAATGTTCCAGTGCAAAAGTTTGCCACTCTGCACTAACCTTTTCTGCTTGTCTGTCAGCGATGATTACAAAATGGTTTGCGACCGCTACGCTGAGGTTCCAGCGATGCAGAGTAGATCAATAGGTTTGGTGGTGGTTACGCTTGTGTTGAGGCATCTCATCTACAATGGAAAACTGAAAAACTACCTGTCTCCCTATGCAGAAAAATTTGAAGTACTAATATCCATTTTCTGTAGCCTCTGTAGCCTCCAAGTCTGGCTAGCATGAAGCATTACCGACAGAAGGCAAGATCGATAGGTGAGCATTTTGGCCGCTAGCAACAAGTCTCCAGTATACCACATACGCGATACGGGTTACTGGCAACTACTGAAGGCAGTGCGCTGGAAGCTTCCTGTGGAAATTTCACAAGAGTTTCGAAAACATCATAATTCTTGAATGATTTCAATGGCCCAGTAATCCAGCACTCGGACACTGACGAACTGTGAGTGGAGTTTTTTCTAGGTTCTGCTCAGAAATCCACAGACTCAGTGTTTTGAGTTTCATCAGGGGATAACGTACTGGTCTGAGAGAACTGTAGAGGATGAGTTTATGAGTGCCGTGTCCGCTTATGACAGTACAAAAACTTCTATTTTCCTCATCGTCTTGCAGTGGAAAGTAGGAAGTGGAGATTGGACAAAGTGTCAGGATTAATGATACCTAAACTAGCTGAAATTATACCTCTCGATCTCAGGATCCGGTTGTTGCAGTTGAGTTTTTGAAAACCAACGCCCAAACAGTCATGAAAATCTTTGGCCTCCTCTTATATCACGGACGCAGTCTTTTTCAGGCCATTTGTGTATTGAGCTTCGTTGGATGGCTCGGAAACATCGCTTTTGTTCTAGCTAACGCTTTCGTCTGTGTGCAAACACAAAGCTAGGAAAACTCTACTGAGTCGAAACTAAAACACCGGTCTGCATAATTAATTATCAGCATATTTCCTCTAAAAGATTGTTAGTCTTATTCATGCAGGGCACGACTCAAAATTATCTTATTTATTCAAGTAATATAAAATACGCGAATACGGCTCCACACACTCAGCAATTATGACCCAAAGAGAGTAAAAGTAATACGGACGGGTCGCACGGCTCTCGTGTAATAATTTTTGAGCGTCATACATATTGGCTTTTAACGTTGCAACGAGTGCGCGTAATGGTCGAGCCACATGTGATTTGCATGCCACAGCTTTCATAAGCACGGACCGTACAATAGAGATGGATTTGGCTAAACAACCTCGAGATGCCGTCACTGTAAGTGACTGAACGTATGGGCGGCATGTTTTGGCGGCACACGCTTGCTCGCCAGCCAGGTGTACGGTGGCGCGAGTGGTCCGTCATCGCCAGCGTTACAAACAGCCATCGGTGTTGACGTGTTTGGACAATTAGCCTCATTGGCCGCTGCTTACTTTGCCGACAAAGTGGTGCAAGTCACCGTGGCAGCCACATAGCCATAGAGGGCCGCTTCTTTGAACGGGTCGGAAACAGAAAACAGGATGATCATGTGACGACAACGGCGACAACGGCGACGACAGCGGATTTCGGTAATTGTCCGCTCGACCAAGGGTTGAGGCGAAAGAAGAAGTGTTTGCGAGATCCAGCATTGCTCAAGGTCGCCGTCGCCGCCGCGGTCGTAGACTCTGTAATTGTTGCCACTGTGTCACGTGCTGAGGTGTCGACCGTCAGGACAAATTGCAGACTGGTACATTTGGAAAAGATCTGCTTACCTGCTGTGATGCGATTCTTCCACCTGGCAACTTACTGAGTTAGTGAAAGTCCGGCGATTTACCATTCTGATTTCTTTCTGACCCACCTCCTGTTCATATGGGTGAGGAGATTCCTGAAGAACAGTGCATTGCCAACTTCCTGCTGGATTTTCTCATTTGCGTAGGTATACACCGTAGTCTAAGATAAGAACACTGCTGCCTCATAAGTTGACCGTGTTTTCACAATTGTTAGGCCCTTCGTAAATAATCCTGCGGTCCCTCCTGCATGAGGATGCCTTGTTGCTACATATTCTCTCTGTACTCCATCCGAGAATCATCGTCGTATAACCCCAGTACTGCTTCGCATCCGCTCCTACCGAATCCTTGTTGCTGAAACTCGCCAGCATCATTCCTCTGTATATGAAGTCAAACTTTGCACTATCCACTGGTAGAGATTCGATGTTACGATATTTGTGCATGAACAATCTCAGACAAGAAAAATGTCTGGTGGCATCTCAGTTCACAAAGCACGGAAGTGTCTTAATGTCTATGCCACTGTTTGTCTTTCCCACTCAAATCGTGAAAAATTTACCGGTGTACTAGCTGCTAAAATCTGTGATTACGAGCTTTTTTGAAGACGTAGGAGCAAACTGACTACCTGCTTCCTGATTGAACCTAAAACAATAAGTAAGCTCCCTGAAACAGAATTAGCAAATCAGTTCCAAGCATCAGACATTCATATAATGGTAAGTGTCACCATTGTTCATGATGAGGAACAGTACGCTGCAGTGGCCATTTGGTGGCAGATATTGCATGCGTTAGAATAAGGCGTGCATTACTGATGTGTACAACAGCGAACACCGAGTCATCATTCATGTGCGCGTAAAATAAGGGTGGCACGAAGACACGTGCAGCACGGAACGGCAACTTCAAACTCCGACCAACCTCAGATGGCTACCGGAAGTGCTTGTATTCTTGCCTGCATAACAGACAAGTACCGTAGATGCGGCACCAGGACCCATGATCAAAAATTTGGCAAATCGCTGCGAGATCGTTAGTCAGCTGGCGAGTGACGGGTGCAACGAAGAGTCACGCAGAAGCAAAATCTGCAAAACAAACAACGTTTTTGGTCGACGTAAATGATGATTTATCGCCGATGGCTGTTCCCGCTTCATGTACGATTCGTCCAAACAACTTGAACGCCATTCACCATTGTCAGTCGAGCATCGCTTGTCCGTAAGACGAAGGCCATCGTATCGTTGAATCGGCCATTTCCGACCGACTGCTCCCTTCGCGACTCTGACAATGGCAAGGTCATCGCAACCCTTGCAGCCTTTACAACGGTTCAGTGGAGAAACCGATTTCTTGGCTAATGCCATGCATCAGCAGAAGGCTGAAGGACATCGAAGACTGTGGCATGGCGAAGAAATCAGGTAGGCTCGAAGTTGACAGGAAGAACAACGAAAATCGACCCATAATTTACGCAATAGACCAAAGAACCTGTAAAGAAAGTGTGAGAAGTCTGTCAACGATGGAATAAACTTCAACGTTGCAA